TCCATGGGGATCTCCTATGTAACAGCATCTCTGTCTCTTAAGCGTAGTTCGGGGAAATCAATAACCCTGAAAGCACTCCGGACCCACAGCGTGTACTGTGAAGGTGCACATTGTGTAACACACAGCGTTAACACACAGACCAGTCTGATACTGGACCGTGAAATGCTTCAGGAGCTTTTACTGAGCACACAAAGTTACACCAAGGGGCCAAATTGCGTCTTCACAGGTGGCTGCTTTTCAAGCCTGCCCAACTAGAACACTGCCTAGCTGGTCTGAACTCAGGTAAACCTCTCCCTCTCCACCTCAGCATCTCCGAGCACCCACGAGATGCTGGAGCTGACTTCCCAGGCAGGTTTGGAAACATGCACATTTCTCTCTTTGAGAGCTCCAGAAGCGGTGCTTACCCTCCCAAGGAAAGCTGCCGGCCTTTTGATGTCTCATTGCTCCCTCACGGGCTGCCCCAGCCATGGCTCGTCACCTTCCCAGCCCTGCACCAAACTCTCCCCCAACAGCTCCTGTCTCCCCAGAAACTGCAAACGGCTCGGTGGGCATCATTTGTCCCCCCGGCCCCTTCTTCCAAATCGGAGTTATCGTGGTGTCTTTGCCCATTTGGGGACCTGACCCCTCTCCTCTGCCCTTCGCATCCCATCACCGCCCAGGAGAAGCTGGCGTGAGCAGAAAAGTCACCTTGCAAGCTGTGCAGCTTTGCTGCACCTTGGACCTTGCCATTTGGCTTCTGGCCATCTTCAGCGCCCGGAGGTTTTATTACAATACTTTGCCCTCCTTATTTCCCTTTCTTTTTTTTTTTTGGTTTTGTTTTAATTCCTGGAACAGTTGTACACCTCCTGCCCCGTGCAGGTGATGCCCAGAGCTGGCAGATGCCTCCTCCTCCCCTCTCCCACCAACCCAGCTCTGCCGGAGCAGCAGCAACAGCCCAGCAAAAACTCCACGTCGAGCCATAACCAATGGCAAATTCTTCGGGCGAAACGTAATGTGCTGGGAAGCGTTTCACCATTTCACTTGGGAAAACGATCCGTTTGGCAGTAGAGAGGAGGAAAACATGCTTTGTTTTACAAATCCTCTCCCCAGCAGGACAGACACTCCCAGCATTTAATATACTGACAGCGCTTGGCTGCTTTAACCACTGAAACTCGAGAGTGCGTCAAAAAAAAGTTTTAAAAAAAAAAAGTGATACACTGTATAATATCAAAACCTATCCTATTCTGCAACTCGTGGTATCGGGCACAGCGATTCACTGGCACAGAGGGGCTGCAATTCTCCCACCCGTGACAGCCGGCACGGATGGGGGGCAGGGGCTGAGAGCGGGATCCCAGGTTTCTCCAAGTGCTGGACATCCCTAATTAATTCAGTTTTCACCCTCTCTTAGAGTGAGGCCCTGTAGCAGCTCCTTGCAGGAAAACAGAGAAGATGCTGACAGATAAATCTAGGAAGTCGCTTTATAGCGGAGAAACTGGATTCAAAGTTACCCAGCACAAGGATTACTTCCATGAAAGGCAACCGGCTCCATCCAGGCGACTAGCAAGCTTCTTGCAACGCCAAACTCCGGTCTCAAGAAAATGTTAAGTATTTCAGTGTATTTCCACTTATCCTCCAATGTATCTGACTGCCAAAAGCATCCTAAGTGCACCGTTGGCGAGGATGGCTTACAGGAAAACACACCTCATCCAAAGAGGGCAGCGGAACGGCGCTTTTTTCAGAGGGGCTTTTAATTTTGCAGCGTGGGGTTTGGGCTCCAGGCAGTTGACAGCATTACCAGAGCAGAAGGAAAGAGCGACCGGTATCTCTGGCTAAAGAACCCGTCACTAAATTAGGCTGGCTGTGCCAAAGGAGCACGTACCCTTTCGAACGGCCGCTGCAGCTCCCGCGCGCAGTACTAACCTAAGTGCGACTGAGGGCAGGCAGCGGGATCGAGCTGCCTCCGCGCCAGAGATCGCTCCTGACCTCTCTGAGGAGCAGTCTCGAAGCAAAGCAGCCTGTCTGTTGTTCACATTTTTTATCTTTTTAAACAAAAAGAAGTCCGCTTTGTATCTTAGCACTTTTATTGCTGCTTGTAACCTCCACGCGTTCTTACAAACGCTAACTAATTCTTACGAGAGCCTGTAAAGAAAACGGCATCGCTCCCATTTCAGGGGAGGGGAGCAGGACAGATAATCTGGTGAAACGCAAAAGATCGCTCTGGACATTGGTGCCAGTGGTGGGGCTGGAAGGGCAGGACCTGCTCGTGCTCCGGCACAACATTTAAAATATGGTTTTGCCGCCCTGTCCTTTGGTTGATTATCAAACACGGCTTTTGTGGGAGCGCTGGCAGGCGGAATGAGAAGCCCCCAAAACCTCATCTTGCAGCGGGTGGGTTGGGCATTATGTCAAGGAAAGCTGAAAAGCTCGACAGCCTCAGGTCTGGCAACATGCTCATTCTGCTCAAAAAAAAAGGATGGAGCACCTCCAAACGCAGGGATGCTGTCACCTACCCCCTCGCTAGCACCCTGGCCTGGCTTCAAACCTTGGTGAAGTCAGTGGACAGGCTCCCAGTGACCTAAATGGCTGGGATTTTCAAAAAATAAAAAGTCTAAATGCAACTGAGAGCAGGGCACCAGGTCACCAGGTTTGCTCAAAACCCTCAGTTTTGCAGCAGCAGCATGGCACATTACGTTAGCAACAACACCACAGCCCCTCTGCGGTCGACACCGTATGAACGGCTCATGGGAAAAGGTCTCTGCCCCAGAGGGCTCACCCATCCATCCCTCTCTACGGGGGGAAGCTCCCCCCAAATCCTCACTTTTGGGCCAGGACACGGCAGGAGCTCAGCTCTCAAAGATTCCCACAGCCTCACAGCCCCAACTCCTTGGGAGCAAATCCAGCATCCCTCGCAGCCCCCAATGCACCCCTAAAACGCCACCTCCCAAAAGTCAGTCCATGCAAAACCACAGCAATCGGGATTTGTTCAGTGGGGCATCCCACATTCGCTACCTGAAGGCAAGGAATAATACAGTCTCATTAAAAATGTGCTTCCAGTCTATTATAGTATCTAGGACAAAGTGTTCCCTATTTTGACACTCAAAGATGTATTTTATCAGAGCAAGCTCTTCAGAAACACTCACTCGCAAAGACTTATCTCACTGTAACAGGTTCCTCGCTTCCCCCAGTATTTTAAAATTAATTTCTAGCTTTTTTTTTCCCCCGTAGTCAGATGATGGGATGTCCTCACGGTCAGATTTGTCATTAGGGCAGCTGCTGTGACACATCCCAGTTCCCTCACGTTCTGCATGGCCAGCCCAGAGCATCACCGCGAAAACACAGTATCCAAAGCCAGAGAGAACTTGGGAGCGACCCACAGTACTTCACAGGCACTGAGATTTATTTTTTTTTTTGGGGGGGTTGATATAAACACCTTCTAAAATTAGCACCTGCCTTTCTGCCAGCTCCAATGGGCTGCCGGTGCAATGATAAAGCTTTGGCGTGGCTGAGAGGGTGCAACATTTGGGCGCAGATTTGCCACCCAACTCACAGCCACTTCTGCCCCACGGGGTTTTCCCGGCCACGCGCTCAACCCACGCGGCCACACAGATCCCACATGGAGAAGCCACTGTCCCAAAGGGTCGTACCCCCAGCTCCCGGGGAGGGGGCATGCTCATCTCAGAAAACCTTCTCTCTAGGCTGAGAGTAAGTCACGAGAGCTTTCTATAAAGGAACGCAAACACATACGGAAGGGTTCAGATTTCTCAGCTGGACTGCTCCAAAGATAGTCCTAAGTCACGTAAACCGGGTGGGCAGAGGGACACCGGCTGGTGGGGTAAGTGGCAGTGTGCCTCCGGGCGCGCTGAAGGGGTCAGGGATGTGCTCCCAACAACACATCCACTTCTAAAAAGTTAACAGGACCAGAAAGTGAGGTGGGGGAAAAACAAAACAAAACACACACAAAAAGCGAAACCCAAACACAAATACAAGAAGAAAACCACCAGACTCTGGACCAGCTGTGTTTTCACATGGACAGCCCGACACTGAGCAGATCGAGGGGGCAAGAAAGCAGCTCCCGATGCCCGGGGAAGATCTGAGCAACTTTTCCTCAGGTGGTAGAACTGGTTACACCAAACGGCTGGGTGCCTTGCAGGCTCCTTGGGAGAAAAACCAAGCTTGAAGATGGGTTCTGTTTTCAATTTGCATGGAAAACTTGCCGGTTTTCAAAGCCCCGTGTACCCCAGAGCCTTGAAAATGCCCAGCACTTTGGGTTTTTTATCACCGTCTATCAGCAGAAAAGGTTAAATGCTAATTTGCTGGATACAGAGCAGGGCTCCTCTGCTGCCTTTCTGTTTGCTCACAGCAACTTTCCGTAGCGTTGCTGCTCAGCTAATGCTCAGCTCAAACAGACTTTCAAGGGGAAAGGTCTCGGGCTCTGTACAATTAATTCCCCGCTCCCGCACAGCGTCTCGCACGCTCATTTCTACAAGCCCCAGTCAACACCAGCAAAACTCCACCGAGTGAGTGCGCGTCAAACAGAACAAGATAAAAAACTAAAGCAGCCAACTCTCGCTATTTCTGAGCCGGGAAGAAAAGAGCTGATTCTCAAAAGCTGCTAGCTCAAATTGCCTCAGCACTTTTACAGATCTGCTTTAAACACCAAACTTTTTGAAAGTTGTGTGGGAACCTCCTTGAGTGGGCTGTGCGTACTGCAAACCCCAGAGCTATCAGCGCAAGCAATGAAGGGAAGGAGAAAAATGCACCCGGCAGGGTTCTTCGCTGCAGACAATGCAAAGCACCTCCCCGGGGTTATTTTCCCATCTCCAACACCATGCCCACCCTGCAGCTTCTCAGCCACTACCCCAAAACTACCCCATAGAAGTTAGACCCGCAAAAACCAGACCGTGCCCCCTCCTTGCTAGCAGGCTTTCGAAACCGGGGTGTGTTTTGCTCCTAGACTGTCTTCTCCCCACTGCAAGCAGGCAGTCCCCCCCCTGCCCCAGGAGAAACCTCCCCATCCTCACCTGCCGCAGGTGCCTCAGCAGCTCGGTGGCCTCCTCCTGCTTCCCCTGCTTCACCAGCACCAGCATGTCCTGGATCATGCAGATCCGCCGGTGGTAAGGGGGCAAGCTGCTGCCACCACCCTTCCCAAACTTCTCGCCGGACTTCGCCACGAGGGAAGCGAAGAAATCTCCCCTTTCCCTGGGGGGTACTTTCTTGCGGTGGTGGGCTGGGGGGCTCTCCCCAGCACTGCTCGGCTGGCAGCCCTTGGTCTGCTTGGTGCCCATGGTGCGTGGCCCCGGTTCCCGCAGCCCAGGGGCTGCATGCAAGGAGGGTGGGGAGGGGTGGGGGGCTTAGGGCTGGAAGCCACGGAGAGGGGATGCACAAGGGGGTGCACAGGAGGGGGATGGAAGGGATGCACAAGGGGTTTGGGAGTGCACAGAGGGATGCACAAAGAAGGGGGGAGGGATGCACAAGGGGTTT